CGGGTTCCAGAGATGCAGTAATTTAGCTTTTCATTTCTTTTCCCAAACTTTTGTACCTGTGCCGTTTTGGCACTTTTATTGTGAATAAAAATATCTTTTTCTCAAGTATTGCATGAGTCTTTTTATGTTCTTTTGTTTGAACATTTATGCAAGTTTTAATTTTTGCTTTCCTTCTTGCTTAAGTGTTTTGTGCAAGTTTATTTGTTGCACCATTTTTTGTTTAAGTATCTGCACAAGTTTGTTTATTGTGTCTTTTTTCGTTAAAGTATCTGCGCAAGTTTGTTTTTTGCGTCTTTTTTCATTTAAGTACCTACAAAAGTTTGTTTTTTGTGTCTTTTTGTGCAAGGTTTCGGGTGCATTTCTCCCTGAAAGCATTTGGATTCTAGGTATAAGTTCTTCCAAAATCAGCTCTTTAACGTAAGGGTTTTCACCTCGTTACCGGGTGCTATATTGTTGATCTCGCCATCGTATCCGGGTTCAACATCCACGTTCAGAGGGGCAGACTGGGAGTTCGACATTTTAAACTTTTAACTTGAAATCAAAAGCACTCCAAAGAACAAGTGTAAAATAGGGTGTGTTATAAAAGTTTGTATCAAACAGCCACATTATCCTTAGCCCCACGATGGGCGCCAAACTGTTTACCCTCCAAATCGGATAATAATTGAATTTGTAAGTGGTTTTAAGGATACGCGGATTAATTTGACACAAAGCTATAAATTGGATTAGATTAAACAAGTAAAGATAAAATGAATTCAAACCACGCAAATAAGCCAGCTTCGCCTTAGTGAAATTGTTCACCCTCGATTCGGGCTCGCTATAGTCAACACCGATGAACAAGTGGAAAAAGCTAAATAACAGAGAAAATGATATATTGCTTTGGAACGCGTGTTACAATTCTTCTTATGAGTAATCAGACCCCTTTTATATAGTAAGGGAGTTCTTCATTAGATATAACTCTGTAAAAGGTAAAAATCTTCTGATTAACTGATTGCCGGTTCCCAATGGATACATGCCTAGATCCCCGCCGTGATATCCGGCCGGTCATGCATATTGGCCTTCCGTTGGTTATGCTTGATTGTCGACAATGTCCTTCGAAGTTGTTCGAGGCTAGGACCGATTCTGGAACTATGACCTCGATATTCCCAAGCGTCGTGTCCCCGGGCTCTAGCTCGATGAGACTTTCGGCTTGATTTTTGTCCCTTGCCATCACATCTCGAGCCTGGCTTATCTTGTCGGAAGTCGAGGTGCATTATTAGCTCGGTTTTACCCGTATACAATAATATAAATACTTTATTTGTTTTATTGACATGTTAAATTTAATGGTATCTTTCGGCCAGCTAGAAATGATTCATTCAACAGAGTAAGATATGTTAGGTGTTAATCACGTCTCACCCCAGTTTGAAAGCATGACATATAACACCTATATTCAAATTTAAATTTCAAATTTGCACATCTCTTCTTTTTCTATAGAATATTTTTCTTCCGTAGTTACTCGTCTTCTTCTCACGCTTTTGGTAGATATACTATTCCTCGATTGAGACAACAATCTTTAATATCTTTCTTGATTCCGTAATTTCTCCTATAATCAAATCTTTATAATTTTGCCATACAATATCTTTTTTGTTTTATTCATATGCATCCATGTCTTCAATCCAATCAAAATGGTCTCTATTGAATAAACCTGTCCAAAAAATAATTTACACAAGCTAAATGTAATTTGCTTAAAGTCTGAATATCTCATCAAATTAATATGAGATTTAACTAAGTAAATATTTTATCATCAAAATTAATAGTTGAAACTTTACTACCAACATGAGCTCCCTCACAAAAAGCTAAAGGAAAAATCCACGAGAAATAAGAAGAAGATAATCTTGGTCGTTGCCCATGGGAATGGGACCGAACGAGCACTAACATTGGTCCTTTATTCTTTCTGGTTGTGGTGCATGGCACGATTTACGAATTAATCTGGTCCTGTCACAGTGCATTTGCATTGAAGAACTGACATTTGACTTTTCCAAAAATTATATGGTCAAATGATTTCCGCAATTATGGAAATGCCGTAAGCAGAATCCAGACGGCCCACGCATCTCTATACCTTTTTCTTGTTTGATTCGTAGCCACTTGAGAGTTTTCTCAATTCTAAAAGGCTTTGGTATAACAGAATTTAAAATCAACAGATGTAAAATTTTACTTATTTCTTCTTTAAAAAAAGATGGCAAAATATCATTGTACTCAGAATTTTTGTTAAGAGAATTAAACCTTGAACCTAACTTAACTATAATAATGCTAGTTCGAAGGTAATTATCTAAAATCATATAAGGAGATAACAATCCATTTTCTCAATTAACGTGGAACACTCTAACACTGCCGCATTCTCAAGTCTGAACATTGATTTCCTTGTGCTTTACTTGATTGTCAAGAAGAGTCGAGCATTAATAACATAATATGGGAGGCTCAACATTAAAAAGCAGGGATGAGTCTAACCATATATAAATCAGGTTATGGAAAGGACTTTTGACCTAATTCTAACAGTAAAAATTATTTATGAGACGAAGATTATCAAGATCAAATAATGAGATACAAGTCCATTTTATTAACCAATGTGACGTAAGACTTCTTTGTATCTGACGCACGGCTAACAAGTTGGAGTTTGCAGCTCCTCCATGCCGATGAATAATTGAGTAGCAGCCTATCTTCTTTGGCACTTTGCATCTTTTTTTGTTTAACCTCAACCTTATCCAGCCACTAATCTTTCTTTTTTTCCCCCCTTTTTTTTCCCTCCTTTTTTGCCCTTTTCCAATTCATACAATTTGGTGCTATTGGCTAGGGTAGAGGTGGCAAAATGGTTAAAGGGAAACAGTTATCCACCCATATTATCCATTAGAAAATTGGTTGGATAATGAACCATTTAAAAACGGGTCAAATATGGATAATGACCATATTATCCCCTTAGAAAATGGTTACCAATGGATAACTAATGTGTTTAACTTTTACATTTGTAAAGCCTTATATTGGAGTTCCTCGAGTTTGGAAGACTAGGAATTCTCTCACAAGTGATCATATTTAAGAAGCCATGGATAATATGAATATCCATATTATCCGCCGGATAAACTCGTTTTTATCCGTCTCAAATACGGGTCAGGTCGGATAATTTATCCGTTTTTTGTAATTACCCGTTTTGACCCGCTCATATCCGACCCGCCCGTTTGCCACCTCTAGCTAGGGGTGTTCATGAAAATCCGAAAAATCAAACCAAATCGAAAACCGAACCAAACAAATTAAAAATCAATATTTTTTTGGTTTAGTTGGATTTGGTTTTGAATGTTAAAACCGATCAAATTTGGTTTGATTTTGGTTTTAATAAAAAAATAATCGAAGAAAACTGGATTAAAGCGACTATAGAAGTAGATATTTAAGATTTATTATTACACCAATATATATGTATATTTTTATATAAAATTTTATGGTACATGTAAATCATTTGAAATTTAAGTCTAATTCTTTGCTATTATAATAATTTAGTTCTTTGCTTTTATATTCTAGTTTGATTTGCAGTTTTCTTTTGCTAAATACAAGAACCTATTTCATGTTAAAAATAATCTATTTTTACTTGAGTCCTCAAGTTATTCATCACTATTTGATTCAATTATCATCAATATATCTTAGTAAATGATAGATTGATGTGATATTGTTACACTGATAATGTAGTCGCCGGAATATGATAATGTATGTCTCATATTTAAGAAAAACCCGATAAATAATCAAAAACCGAAAAATCGACAAAAACCGTCATAAATGGAATAGATAAAAAACAGATTTAATTGGTTTGGTTCGATTCCAATATTTAAAAAATCGATTTACTTGGTTTGGTTTTTGTTTAGAAAGAAACCGATCCAAAACGAATCATGAACACCCCTAATTGGCTAAAGTTGAAGTTTGAGTTTTTCAATTATTCGAGAATAAGCATAGTAATATGATGCATATAGTAGTAATAAATTAGTAACTATACATGAAAGTTCCTACAATATTGTACGCAGGGTATATGATGCATTTTCAAAAGTTTGTACCTCTTATCCAAATATAACCTTTTCAGATTCAATTCTTTCGACACTAAAACCAAACATGCACAACAAAATTTAAGAAACTAAACTTAAAAATGATTTCTTTCGAAATGGAATCGAACTGGCCAATAAATATTTGAGCTGACTATTTCAACTGTGTGTTCCTCAAAAGAGATCTGAGAGTGAATTCATTTAATAAAAGAAATAATCAGAGGTCCGCATTTTATTTCTCTAAACTTAAAACAAAAATCACGTACTCTTTCTACTTTATTTGTCACATTTTTCTTTTTAATTTGTTCAAAAAAGAATAATATCTATATTTTTCTTTCTAGAAAATATTTAGTTTTAGTATCTCATGAATTTTACTTTCGACGACATGACTTGTTGAGACCTTCACTATCATTCCTTTAAAATGATAAGACATATAAAACTCTCACCAACACTTATTTAACAGGATACTTTCAAAACTTTGAATATATCTGATTCACATATCATAAATTTTTCTTTAATTACTTAAACTCCACGGTCACATAAACTACAATGGAAGAAGCTGTTAGATTGAAGAATCAGCAGTTATGGTGGAAAAGAAATTAAGAAAATCCTAGCTAGGGTGAGAGAGAAGAGAGAACATGAGTCGGTTCAATTAAGGAACTCGACCCTTCTATTTTCATTATTATTTTTAATGTACATAATGACTGAGTATTTATATTTACACTACTAAAATGTGTAAAATGAAAAGAAATGAAAGAATGGAGAAATACAAAATACAAGTGGGCCAAGTGGGCCATTTCCAGTGTCTCAGTGTTGTTGGGCCATTTCTTTTCCTTTAGATGAGCAGCCCATATCAGTGTTAAACACCCCCCCCCCCCAAGCTGGAGGGTGGAAACACACCAAGCTTGCCAAGAATGCTGTGATGAAGTTGTCCAGATAGAGCCTTGGTCATAATATCAGCCAACTGGTTAGTACTAGAAACAAAATGTAAAGAGATAAGCCAGAATTCAAACACTCACGAACATAGTGGCAATCAATCTCAATATGCTTCGTACGCTCATGAAAAACTGAATTTTTGGCAATGTGAAGGGCAGCCTGACTATCACAATGAACTGGGACAGGAGAACCAACATGTAGACCAAGATCCCCAAGTAGTATGACAAGCCAAGAAACTTCAGCAGTAACCTTCCTTAAAGCCCTGTATTCAGCTTCAGCAGACGACAAAGAAATGGTGGGTTGTTTCTTGCTTTTTCAAGAGATAGGACTCCCACCAAGAGTCACATAAAAACCAGTCACTGATTTGCGAGAGATAGCCCAAGATGCCCAATCAGAGTCAGAGTAAGCAATAAGAGATAAATCAGGAGAATTGGAGAGGAGCACACCCTGAGAAGGAGCAGCCAACAGATATCTAAGAACATGTAAACCAGCCATCATGTGGGGAACATGAGGCTTCTGAAGAAATTGGCTTAAATGTTGTACAGAAAAGGAGATGTCAGGCCTAATGTGCTGCAGGAAGTTGAGTTTGCCAATTAGCCTTCTATACAAGCTAGGATCAGGCAGTGGATCACCCATGTCCATGGTCAGCTTGACAGGAGGGTCTAAAGGAGTCAAAACAGCAGAAAAATGATTGCATTTGAACTCAGCTAGAAGGTCAGAAGTATATTTGTGTTGACTCATGACATAACCCTGAGGAGTCTTGGAAATCTCCAAGCCTAAGAAATAGTGGACTGAACCCAAGTCCTTAATCTTGAATTGATCATCCAAAAAGGACGTCAGAGATTGCATTTCAGCAAGGTCATCACCAGCCAATAGTATATCATCAACATAGACAGCCATAACCACTAGAGAACCAGAGGAGAATTTGGTGAAGAGAGAGTAGTCATTGAGACTAGAGATGTAGCCCCTTGAGAGTAAGGCTTCAGACAATTTTGAAAACCATTGTCTGGAAGCCTGCCTAAGGCCATATAGAGATTTCTTGAGTTTGCAGACTAGAGGAGCTGAAGAAGAGGCAGAGCAGACATCAAGACCAGGGGGAATTTTCATATATACTTCTTCATGAAGATCACCATGGAGGAAAGCATTATTAATATCCAGCTGGTACACAGTCCAACCTTTCTAGATGGCAAGAGTCAGAAGACATTTGATGGTAGTGAGCTTAATAACAGGGGAGAAAGTCTCAGTAAAATCTATGCCCTCCCTCTGTGTATCACCTTTAATAACCAACCTAGCTTTGTATCTTTCAATAGACCCATCCGCCCTCTGTTTAATCTTGTAAACCCATTTGCAGGGAATAGCCTTTTTATTTTGGGGGAGAGGGACAATGTCCCAAGTCTGATTAGCCTCAAGAGCATGGAATTCCTTTAACATGGCCTCTTGCCAAGCAGGATTACCTGCAGCCTGCTGGTAGAACTGAGGTTCATGCAAGTGAGCTTCACTGGAAGAGATTTTATGTTGTGTAGGAACAGGGTTGGAATGGACAGAGGAGCAAACATAATCCTTAAGATAAGAGGGTTGTATGACAGTTCTGGAGGACTTCCTTAAGGGAGGAGGATCAGGAATAATGGTGGTGGAAGGAGGAGAACTGGGGGTAAGATCAGGAATAATGGTGGTGGAAGGAGAAGAACTGGGAGGAGGAGCAGGAGGTTTAGTAGAGGGAGTAACTACAGAAGGAGGAGCTGGGTCATCCACAAAAGTGGTAGGTAACATATGAAAGTGAGAAGAAGAAGGAGGGGAAGAAGAATAGGGAAAATTGTGTTCATGGAAGACCACATCCCTAGAGTGAAAAATAGAACAGTTAGACAAATTGAGCAATTTGTAACCCTTCTTACCACAAGGATAGCCTAGGAAAATACAGGCAATGGCTCTAGATTGAAATTTATCCCTGCCTACCTTAGGAGAGGTAGCAAAGCAGAGACACCCAAAAGATCTCAAATGGTCATAGGAAGGAGGATGGCCATGCAACTTTTCAAAAGGGGAAAGCTTAAGAAGAAGTGGTGAAGGCATCCTGTTGATAAGGTATGTGGCAGTGAGAACACATTCCCCCCAAAATTTCAGGGGCAGTTTGGATTGAAAAAGTAGGGCTCTTGAGACTTCTAAAAGATGTTTATGTTTCCTCTCCACAACACCATTTTGTTGTGGAGTATAGGGAATGGAAGTTTGATGGAGAATGCCCTGAGAAGCAAAGAAACTAATGGCTTCAGAACTGCTCCTAAGTTCAAAAGCATTATCTGATCTAAAAGTGTGTATTGAAGAGTTGAAGTGAACCTTTACCATGGAAGTGAAAGCCTTAAGGATTGACAAAGCATTACTTTTGGAAGAAAGAAGGTGAGTCCAAGTGACTCTAGTAAAATCATCAACTAAGGTGAGAAAATACCTAAAACCATTGTATGTTTTAGTGTTATATGGTCCCCAGATGTCAATGTGAACAAGTTGGAAAAGTTTGGTAGAATGAATGGTACTGTCATGGAAAGGAAGTCTTTGTTGTCTCCATTGGACAAATTGAACATATAAAAGGTTGTTTGGCAGAGACTTTATCAGATAGAAAAGAAATAGACTGCATCTTATGAAAAGGCATGTAACCCAATCTTTGATGCCAAAGTGCATCCATCTTATTGACAAGTGAAGTCTGATTACAACTAGGTAAAACATCAAGATGTAAAGGTGCAGGAACAGACTTATTACATGGAATTGAACCTATATTAAAAACAGATTCATTGCAAGTAGTAGTAACAACAGAAGGCACAGAAGAACTTGTGTTGGGAAATAAATCTCCATCAGGATGAAGATAGTAGAGCCTGCCAGCAGCTTTACCAATTACCAGTGGCCTCTTCAGAGAAGGGCCCTGTAGAGAACAATGGAATTTGGTAAGTACTGCTATACAATCAAGCTGAGTAAGGAGTTGATGAATAGAAATTAAATTGAAATGAGAAGATGGAACTAGAAGGACAATAAGTAAAATTATATCATGTCTTAGATGCAAAGAGCCAGTTGATATAACTTTAACCTTGTATCCATTAGGTAAGGTGACAAGGAATGGTTTAGGTAAGGTGACAACATTATAAAGCAGATGTTTGTGTGGAGTCATGTGATTAGTGGCCCCTGAATCCAAGATCCAAGGGTTTGGATTTGATTATGAAGAAGCACACACATGAGAATCTACAGATTCTACAACATAAGCAGTAAACAAACCTGCAAAGTGAGCAAGAATCCTCATCTGATTGGATAGATGATGTAGCAGCAGGGGAGATCTGAACTTGCTGGAATAAAGTGAGGAGATGCTGATACTGCTCCTTAGTAAAACCATGAGTTGAAGTAAAATTACCAGGAGTCTGATTTGACCCAGAAGGTGATTGAGAATAGAGAACATCTCCTTGGACACAAGAAGCAGACTTCTTACCCTTAGTAAACTTGAAGTCAGGGGAAAACCATGCAGCCTGTAGCATTTTTCCACTGTGTGTCCAGGTTTCTTGCAGTATTTGCATGATACTGTGGAGATATTCTTCTTGGGTTCAAAATTGACTCTTTGGGTAAAGTTCTTATTGTTGTTATACTGAGCAGGAGTGACAGAAAAGGAAGCAGAGACCCCAGAAAAGTTGGAAACATTGGAAAGAGATTCCTTTTGACTCTCATCCTGTTGGAGGAGTGAGTAAGCCTTGCTTATGGGAGGTAGAGGATTCATCACCATGATAGCACTCTTAACAGTGGAATAAGACTCATTCAGACCATTTAGGAATTGGAATAACTGTTGATCTTCTATGAATTTTGGAAGTGCCCCGCAGGAACACACTGGACCAACATAAGAGGAGTTCAGTTCATCCCATAGGCTCCTAAGCTTGGTGAAATAAGTAGCAATGTCTGATGAACCTTGGCTTGTGATACTAATTTCCCTTTGTATTTGAAGGTACTTTGATCCATTTGATTGACCAAACCTCTCATTAATGTCTTTCCAAACTTCTCTTGAAGTTTTAAGATACATGACACTGGTAGCAATTTCTCTAGATACAGAGTTAGTTATCCATGCTTTCACCATATCATTGCACCTTTCCCAATATGGATAATAGGGAGAATCAGGTGTTGGTTGAGAGACCCTACCATCTAGGAGACCTAATTTGTTCGTTGCAGATAAGGAGGTAAGCATACTGCTTCTCCATAGAACAAAACCACAACCATTGAAAAGTACAAACACTAGTTGACTACCAGGACTATCAGACGGACGTACATATAAAGGATGAGACAGATCAATTGTAAAGGGAGTAAAACCTTCAGAGGTTGTACTACTAGGTGAACCTATGTTTTCCATGATACTACCCATGCAGTAAAAAAATCAACTTCAGCAAGATGAGGCGAATTGCTAACAATTGAATTAACACAATTTCTATAGGGATATGCTGCAACAGTATCGGAACTGTACAAATTCGAAGTTGAATAAGAAAGATATTACCAGCCTTCTTCACAGACTCGAAGAAGAAGAGTCTTCTCTGAAGATGGAAACCTAGAAATTGAATTTGAAGAAATCACTGAAGTAGACCTCGAAAATAGACAACTTCTACTAGATACCAGTCGTTTGAAAGCGAAAATGGAGAAGTCCCCAAGTTTTGATGGAAAAATCCTCGATTTGGTAGTAATCTTTGATCAACCAGAAACGCACATGAAATCCTCCAAGACTTTAGGCAAGGGTAACATCGGATTGAAGCTAATGAAGCAAGGAATCATGATTCCCGCTCTGATACCATGTTAGATTGAAGAATCAGCAGTTATCGTGGAAAAGAAATTAAGAAAACCCTAGCTAGGGTGAGAGAGAAGAGAGAACATGAGTCGGTTCAATTAAGGAACTCGACCCTTCTATTTTCATTATTATTTTTAATGTACATAATGACTAAGTATTTATATTTACACTACTAAAATGTGTAAAATGAAAAGAAATGAAAGAATGAAGAAATACAAAATACAAGTGGGCCAAGTGGGCCATTTCTAGTGTCTCAGTGTTGTTGGGCCATTTCCTTTCCTTTAGATGAGCAGCCCATATCAGTGTTAACAGAAGCAAATAAACTTATTTGTCCTAAGAGAATAAAAAAACTTTTATTTCAAGCCAATTGATTGTTTGAAATGGAAAAGATCTCATTTGGCCATAAATAATATTTCAGTATTTGCAATTGCGGATACTAGTTTGGTCATTATATTTACAAAATATGAATAAAATTTTTAAAATAATAACAAACCTAATTTATTTCCACAAGTAGGGTCTGAACCCTACAAGGTAGAGAGACTGATTCCCTTGGTTCAAAAATAAATTAAAAATTTTAAAAATTATTTTAAGTGAATTAATAGTTTTCACCCCATTTTCAAACTTTTTTCTTAACTGCGTAGGGGCACATTCATTAATTAAAAAGATGCAATTTTTCCCGTGACTTATTAGCAAGTCTTGTGATTCTAGTCTTTCCTCGTCTGTTTCTTGATTTCCCACTCGTACTCGAGTTAAAGGAAAGATAAAAACGCCAAGCGAAAACGTAGAATACTGAAACCGCTTGACACATTCACATACTAAAGAAAGTAGAATATTCCCCGTAATTTTAGTAGCTTATACCCCCATAATCTGGTATATCAACACTTCCCAAAATCCCATATATATAGGTGAGGGAGGGATGCCATAAGAAGATGGTACTGTCACTAGTGTTAAACAGAGAGTTCAAGCTGAGGTCGAAAATGGGTGTGTCAAGAACAAGTTTTCTTGGGTGTTGTATTCTTGCAGTTTTTGGTTTGATTATCAATGCATCCATTTTATGCAGAGGTGGAATTACAAGCAGTTTTGTTAGGAAACTTGAGAAGACCATTGATATGCCTATGGACAGTGATGTCTTCAGTGTGCCTCCTGGCTATAATGCACCTCAACAGGTTATTTCAATCTCTTTGCGTTTTTCATGTCTAGTTTTCACTCACTGCTTTTGATGAATACTTTCTCTGCTTTTGATGTAGAGGCGGATCTATGATTTTACAATAAGTGAATATAATTGCATCCACTCATCATTATATTCAATGGCTATGAACTTGGTGCGAGTGTGTGTGTGTGTGTTTTTTTTTAGTCGAAGGCAGGTTTTCGCACTCATTGCCGGCAAGGACAAGCTGCAATACCATTTTGTTTCTTATTAATGGAATGTAGTTATACCTATTGAATATTGATTTTGTTGCGATTTTCTTGGGATAAGGTTCACATAACACAAGGAGATCATGTTGGTAAGGCAATGATTGTCTCATGGGTGACAATGGATGAACCTGGTTCAAGTACAGTTTTATACTGGAGTAACAACAGCAAGCAAAAGAATAAGGCCAAGGGAACTCTTACTACCTACACATTCTACAATTATACTTCTGGTTACATCCACCACTGCATAATTAAGCATTTGAAGGTGAATCAAACCTTCTTTCTTTCTTCAAATCTTTGGGAATAATTGTGGTTTCTACATTTAGTTATTCTCCATTGGCGCATCGTGCATTGTTATATAGTATACATCATATCTACCTTTTGTAACGGTATAAACACAACATTTTGCAGTTCAATACCAAATATTACTATGAGGTGGGGATCGGTCATAATCCAAGAACCTTTTGGTTTGTGACTCCTCCACAAGTTGGCCCTGATGTTCCTTATACTTTTGGACTTATAGGTAACCATTTCAACCAAACTATTGCTGTACGATTTAATTCTTTTTGAGCTAATTATGTTGGCACTGCGATTTCGGCTTCTTTTATTCCTTCAGTGGAGATTTTGAGGTTCACTGTGCTTTCTCAAGGGTACTAAAATGAGGGAGAAGCATATAATATGATGTATACTCGGTATCTAGGATTGAATGATAGTACTAAATTAACTTTAGTTCGTCGTTAACCACAATAAATGAACTTTGTTACATGAGTATTACTCACAAACTATGCTTCAAAATCCAAAATCTGAACCTGGTTTAGTATCAATTTCATTGTGCATTGATAGTTCATGGAAAAATGATAAGGACAAAAAAGAGGTTCGTCGATATTGTTGCTACCACTTCTGTAGTTTTTTCCCAATCTAAGCTGCATTTATCTTACAGGGGATCTTGGTCAGAGTTTTGATTCAAATAGGACGCTCACACATTATGAATTAAATCCAATCAAGGGGCAGACAGTGTTGTTTGTTGGCGACTTATCTTATGCAGATAACTATCCTAATCATGACAACACAAGATGGGATACATGGGGAAGGTTTGTAGAGAGAAGTGTTGCTTATCAACCATGGATCTGGACAACAGGGAATCATGAGATAGATTTTGCTCCTGAAATTGTAAGTCATGCAAATTCAGTTTTCCTTAACTTGAACTTGACTTGCTTTTGTCATTCTCCAGCCTTTGGTTTTCAGCTGAGTAATAATATGTTACTGACAAGAAACTGCTTATATGAGCATATTGAGAAAATTTAATGCATTTCTGGACCTTCGGCATGTTGTAGTTTAAAAGGAAATACACAACAATTGTTAGTACCATGCATTCTACATTCTTCACAAAATCACTAGGTTGTCTTAACCAGAGTTAGCTCTTCTACTTCTAGTTTGAGTAGATTCGCGCCAAGTCACACCAGCTTCATCTTGCACGCTCAACAACGATAAAATATCTAGGACTGATGACAGGAATAAAAAAGCAGCTTTGGTTTCAAGAACTGAATATGGTGAAGTAGTTAATAAAATGAAATGAACTGAAAATATGGTGTTGTTCTGCCACTGTTTTAAACCGTACTCTTGGACGTTTTACCTTTATGATTTTACAAGGAAATTCTAACAAACATGTTGGTGATTTTTCTGCAGGGGGAAACAAAACCATTTAAGCCCTATACTCATCGATATCGTGTCCCTTATAAATCATCAAACAGTACAGCTCCCTTTTGGTATTCAATCAAGAGAGCATCAGCATACATCATAGTTTTGTCCTCATATTCAGCTTATGGTAAGAGTATTGACATTTCACAGGTTATTGTCATACATACTTATGAGAAGTGCAATGTCTATTTACTTTATCTATTTAAGATTCTATTGCTGATTCTGGTGTTGCATTTAGGACATAAATTATGTCCTTCAGTGATGAGTCTCTTGGTCCCTTTTCCTTCTATAGTACAGACTACAGAACTACAGACGTCGTTATAATTGGCCAGAAAATATATTTAAGGTCTTGTGCCTTATGATTCCAGGAAGTAGGTCTTTTATAAGTTCCTTTCCTTTTAATAGCAGAAGCAATTAGATATTCTAAAGTGTGGATCATGGATTTTCCAATTCTTTTATATGAAGTTTTCGTCGTCTTATCAATTATAGGCATGTACACTCCACAATATCAATGGCTTTATGAAGAGCTACTGAAAGTTAATAGGAGCGAGACACCATGGCTGATTGTTCTATTGCATTCGCCGTGGTATAACAGCTACAACTATCACTATATGGAAGGGGAGACCATGAGAGTAATGTATGAGCCATGGTTTGTGCAGTACAAAGTTGATGTTGTTTTTGCAGGTCATGTTCATGCTTATGAGCGATCGGTATGTCATGCACCAATATTATGCAGCTAAAATCATAGTGATATCTGTCAATACAAAACGTTTACTTTGTTTTGTTTTTCAGGAACGTGTATCCAATGTGGCTTACAACATTGTCAATGGAAAATGCACTCCAATTCACGATCAGTCTGCCCCTATATACATAACAATTGGTGATGGTGGAAATATTGAAGGCCTCGCCAATAGGTATGATTGATCCAACTCGATTCCCCTCGTTCTTTAATGTAATCTTGAACATTGAGATATTCATATAAAGCATAAACTAGATACGCGGTACACTGAACACCAATTGACAACTGAAAAAAGAAATTACAAAAACTATGAGTAAACGGTTTTCATCTGTTCTAGTTGCATTAGTGACAGGTTACTGATTTTTTAACACATTTTTCAGCATGACAGAGCCACAGCCAGAGTACTCTGCATTTCGAGAGGCTAGTTTTGGTCATGCTACTCTTGATATCAAGAATAGAACTCATGCTTATTATAGTTGGCATCGTAATCAAGAAGGATATGCTGTGGAAGCTGATAAGTTGTGGCTTTATAATCGTTTTTGGCATCCAGTTGATGATTCTACAACACCCAAATCATGATCTTCCTGTAAAGGACTAGTTTTTTATTTTTATTTTTTTTTCTGCCTCGTGTAATTCGATTTCCGGATTTGTAATCAATAAAGTTTCTTAATTACCGATGTCATGCAATCACCTAGAGGTGACAAAATGGTTAAAAGAAAACAGTTATCCACCCATATTATCCATTAAAAATGGGTTGGATAATGAACTTTTTAAAAACGGGTCGAATATGGATAAGAACCATATTATCCACTTAGAAAATGGATAACCAATGGATAAGTAATGAGTTTAACTTTTACGTTTGTGAAGCTTCAAATTGGGGGTTCTTCAAGTTTGGGTGATTAGGAATTCTCCCAAAAGTGATCATATTCAAGAAGGGATGGATAATATGGATATCCATATTATCTGCCGGTTAACCCGTTTTTTATCCGTATTAAATATGGGTCGAGTCGGATAATTTATCCGTTTTTTTAATTACCCGTTTTCGACCCGCTCATATCCGACCCGACCCGCCCGTTTGCCACCCCTACAATCACCCATTGAAATCAGCTCCAAGTTAGTTATGTTTTTTTTATAGTCTAGTCAACTCCTTGGTATTCCTCCATTCAAAAAGGAATGACGCTGGTATTTTTTTTTTGGTCAACCGACGAAATTGCTTTATATTAAAAACTTGTTACATTACAAGGAGCATTGACAGAATTTTTCCCCGGGTTACAAAAAGAGCATGTGGGGAAATGGTGTTGCCGGTGTTGATCAGGTTCTACAGAAGTACATTCATTAGATGGATCATCTAGACAAAAAATAAGAGGAGCAGGCTGAGCCGCAATAGATGTTTTTCTTAAGTAGATAGTGCCTTGTTGGTCTGCATTAATGCTTTTTCCAAAAACGTTGGCGGCTCCTGTAGCACTTGCAAGGTTGTTCCTCGGTTTATAGATGCTCCATATTTTACTAAGCTATCCGCTACACTGTTCTGCTCCCTGTATGTATGCATAATGTGCGGGCTACCCAGCTGGCGTAGCAAGTATCTGCAACCAGAGAGTAGTAATGAGTGCTGCATGTTATTATTTTTTAGCATAAAAATTACCTCAGCGGAGCCGATATTGATTTCCAGTGGTAAGAGTTTCTGTTGCCATGCTAGATGTAAGCCTTGGAGTAAGACGCAGAGTTCCATTGAAGTAAGGTCTCCTGTAGGTCTGCTTCCAGTGAATCCTAATATCCAGTCACCCGTGGAGTTTTTGAATACTCCTCCTATCCCATAGCTAGGAGGATGTGTATTGAAAGAACCATCTGTATTAAGTTTGAAAGTGCCGGTAGTAGGTGGTTCCCATTTGATGTAGAGACTCCTTATTTGTGTATGTGGTTGTTGTTTTTTGGATTATATAGTAATATTCGTTAGCATTAGTGACAATTTGTTGAAAAGAGTTTTGTATATTAACATGTTGGAAAATGTATTTGTTGCGGCAGTTCCATATGTTCTAGAGGGTGAAAAGTATGAGTATGTGGGAGGGTGTGTGTGTTGGTGGTGGAATATTTGAGTGGATGAGCATGTAAATGTCCTGGATGGGAGAGGTGATATTATCTGCATGAGTGTTGAAGTTGGGCATAATTCCTAGAGTGTGCCATATGGCTGTGGCATGTGTGCATTTAAATAATATGTGAGCAATGGTTTCGTTGTGTTGGTGGCAAAGAGGACAGAGTGGTGATGAGGTGATTTTGAGTCTATGTAGATAGGGAGTTGTTGGTAGACGATTATGTCAAATTAACCATAAGAAGTATTGAATTTTTGGTGGTAATGTTAAAGCCCATATCCAGTTAAAGTTGCCAGTTGCATGGTTTTGATTTAAAATTTTGTAAAGGGACTTAACAGTGAATTTGCCATGTGGAGTGAGTCCCCATATAATTTTATCATAGGCGTGTGGATTACGAAGAGGTTCTACATATACGTTTTTCAACTGTTTTTCTATATTGGGTGGTAATTCAAAAGGAAGGCCATGGATGTTAATTTGTTGTTGTGTTAAGTAACTTGAGAGTGTAGAGTTTCGGTCAGTATGTTGTAACGGGCCTTCTATTTGTGTTCTCAATATGAGATTTGGCCCTAGCCAAGGTTCCGTCCAGAATGTAATGTGTTGGCCATTTTCCACATGACATACTATTCCTCGTTGGCAAAAATTTCAGCCTAAGGTCACTGCTTTCCAAATATTTGAAAAGAGTTGGTGCTTGATTTGTAAGAAATATTTATTAATGAGGATAGATGCCGATAAGGACTTTGGAGATGAAAATAGTCTCCATGCTAGTGCACCTAGTAAAACATTATTTTTTTGAGCTAAATTGTGGATCCCCAATCCCCCATTCTCCTTAGATTGTTGGATTGTAGTCCATTTGATGAGGTGAAGTTTCTTTTTATGCTGAGTTGTTCATGAGTCAAGTAATTTTTTTTCTTTGTCTATAATATATTCAAATTTTGAAGATGAATTTAACGAAGTATAAAATTATGATTTATAATACTTTCATGTAATCTCTAAATCTTTAATCTAGTCTTAAAAAAACATTAATTAATTGATATTCACACAAAAATCAACTTGTTACAAGGAACCTAGTACATTCAAAATATCCTCAGGATCGTTTATGTATTAAGATATACACCAAAAATAAAAAAGAAAAATACAATCCATTTTGTTCTTTTGTAGAGTACTCTTTGCATCTTCAAAACACCTTGAGTTCCTCTCCTTCCATACTGTCCACCAAATGCTTGGTGGGACAATTTTCTACCTGTCTTTGTTTCGGTTATAGTTTCCCCCTTTATTCCAACATGTCACAACTTCGGAAGTACTACTGTCACGCAGTGGCGGAGTCACATTGAACCAAGGGGCATCAAGCGACACCCCTTCGCTAGAAAATTACACTATTTTGCTAGATAATTTTTTTTATTTTATGTATATTTACTATACGTTGACTTCTCTTGACTTTTCTATGTATCTAATTGTTTATATTTTGACACCCCTTGATGAAAATTTTAGATGCGCCACTACTGTCATGATCCCAGTTTCCTGCCTTAGGATGTCTTGATGGCACCTAGTCTGTAAGACTAGTTAAGCCTAACGTGTAATAATAATAACTTAATAGAAATAATCAAACAGAAATACTAAAACAAGACTGATAAACTCGTATAAAATTCCAAAATAGAATCTCAACCACAACTCTCCCAAAACCGGCGGAATTGAGTCAAAAGCTCTATAGAGTAGTCTAGAATGTCTACTACAACACTGCCTGAAAGAAAAACAACAAAATGAAATGATATGAAAGGTGACTCCAAGGTCTGCGGACACTGAGCAGTTATACCTTTAAGTCTCTGGATAGCAGCTATAATCAAACACTAACATCTAGCACTAGCAGACGTACCTGGATCTGCACAAAGACGATGTGCAGAAGCATAGTATGAGTACACTACAACGGTACTCTATAAGTATAGAGCCTAACCAGATACAGTAGTGACGAAGCTAGATCAAGACACCTACTAGAACATAAATAAAAGAAGAAAAATATAATAACGAGAAGCAATGAAAAATGGAGAAATAAGTGATAACGAAGCAGGTTAATAACGTGGGCTAATGACAGAATTGTAAGCACAGAGTTAGCAAGAAGGAAGAAAATAGAGAGAACCACAATAGTCAAATATGGACAAAACTGATAAGATAAGGAAGAATAAAAGCAACAAGAACTATTCCACCAATAACTCTTTTCAACATGAGATGCACAACAAGAATTACTACCGAGGTACCGCCTCATATACTATAAGAATCACAATCCAGGTACCGCCTCGTATTCACATTTCTTAATTTCAATCACAATCTTTTCTTAAACCGCCGCATGAGCCTTACATTTAGATAGTTTTGAAAATATTTTTTTCGAAATAGCTACACGCACTTCAACCCACCTTATGACGCCGCGTGGCTTACTTTCTAAGATATATTAATGAAATATAGTTGAAAATGAATTCTATCACTTACCCAATATTTGTAAATGAACATCTCCTCTCTAAATCGCCTCGTACCGAATCTAGAGTTCTAAAATGAGAGAATATGTTGAAAAATCCCGACCCCCAACCCTTTTGATCAGTTGCAGTTATCGCAATAGCGACATGCATTCGCAATTACGAACCTCGCAATTGCAAAAAAATCCCAGCAAATGCGGCCACTGACAGCCTAAGACATTTGTAAAGCTTGTACTCATCGCAAATGTAACTGTTTTGTCGCAAATACGAACTACCCAGCCGCCTGTCACTATTCGCAATTGAGACCCAGGTATCACAATTGCGACACCTGAGCCCCCTGCTAAGGTTGCAATTGCGACCGTGGTGTTCGCAAATGCGGCACTTGAGGCATCAGCATACCGGATCCTATTTTTCAGTCCAAAACATTCCGAAACATGTTCGAAACTCTCCCTCAGGACTCTAAACCAAACATCCACACAAATCTAAAAATATCATACGAACTCGCTCGCGTGATCATTACACAAAAATAACATCTAGAACTAGGAATTGGACACCTAAACGCATGAATTTTAAAATAAATTTTAAGACCTTCTAGAATTGCGACTAAGCATCTGGATCCTATCAATTCAACTCTAAATGATACCAAATTTTGCAGACAAGTTCTAAATAGCATAATGGACCTATTCCAAGTCCTAAAATCATATTCCGAACCCGATAGCTAGAAGTCAACCTACGGTAAAACTTCTAAACCTCAAATTGCTAATTTTTGGCAAAATAACATAAATCAACCTACGGACTTCCGAATTCGATTCCGGTCATACACCCAAGTCCAAAATCACGGTATGAAGTTATTGAAGCCATCGAAATACCGTTCCGATGTCATTTTCACAAAAGTCAACCATTGGTTAACATAAACAATTTAGGATTTTAAGCCAAGAATCAAAGGGTCCAAATCAACTCGAAATCTTCCCGGAACGAAACTAATCAACCCCGTAAGTCATAAAACATAAACACACATGTGTGAAGCATAAAATGGAGAAACAGAGCACAATTACTCAAAACAACCGGTCAGGTCGTTACATTCTCTTCCTCTTAAAATAAATGTTCGTCCTCGAATGTGCATAAAGA